GGGACCAACTCTGTGCCAGCTATTGAAGTAAATTCTGAAGGATCAGAGAAACAGAACAAGTCACAGCCAACTTTACCTTGCCAACTCCTCAGCTGATCTTGCTTCCTCAGACTTTAGTCTTCTGAGTGTTCCCCCTAATGAATCTCAGCTGCACTGCTTAAAAGCCCAAAAGCTTACACCTCCTTATTTGAATCTTGTCTCTCCTCCTAGAAATGGACTCTGGTCTCTCTGAGAAGTAGTTCTGTTGTGGACACTGGGCACAGGAGACCAGCTTTGTCCTGGGTGTCAGTTCTCTGCCTCCTGATCATGCATTCCTATGGCTACTCATCAAGATCTGGCAACATGTAACTGGCTTACCATCTATTTGCCTGAAGGGATGGTTCAACATATAAAAATCTGTCAATGTAATCCACCACATAAACAAACTGAAAACAAACAAACAAACATGATCATCTCATTAGATGCTGAAAAAGGTGTTGGTAGGGTTGGGGTAGAGAGTGTCGCAAGGGAAGATGGAATCTAAGGCAGTGTGTGTGTGGGTGTGTGATGGAGCTGAGGTCTGAAATGGAGGAGAGAGTTAAGAAGGTAATGCCCATAAGGGTAGACAGGGGATCAGGACAGGGATGAGGGTGGGGTAAAGAACAGGCCAGGAGGAAGTATTGCACACTGCCAAAGGTCAAAGGGTTTGAGGATGGGTTGGGGAAAGCACAGGGATTTTCGGGTTATGAGTTGGAGTGGAAGATAAAGGGGTAAAGGAGGGAATAGCAGTGAGAGGCTGAGGGCTGCCAGCAGCGCAGAGAGGACCCTAGAGCTGGGGTGAAAAAGAAGGCAAGGACCTGGTGGGGTCTAGACAGTAGGGGTAGGACAGGATGGAATGGAGGGTGGGGGGTCAGCAGTTGGGGAGAGTGGAAGGTGAGACCAGCTCAGCGTGGGGACTGGGACAGGGACTGGGAGGAAATGAAGAAACCCCACCAACAGCCCCAGATACTTCCTCTCTGGCTGCAGACAAGTAACTGCTGCACAGACCCAAAGCACCGACTTTATCTCTTGACTTTCTGCTCTGCTTCAGCTGCCTAGTGTGACCCAGGGTGCAGCCAGTTTGTGCGGGGAGGGACCACATGGAGTGGGGATGCTGGGGTCACCAGAGCCACAGAGACCAGGCTGCTCAGCTTCTGCCCGGGTGCCATGGCCTGTCTTAGAGGGAGGGCCTGAGTCTCCTGGAGCCTCCCCTGGAAGCTGATGTAACCACAAAATCGATCAAGAGTGAATGCATGTGACAGACAAAACACTAACTGCCTGAAGTCACAGCTCTGATTCTGAAATTTTCATGAATCTTATCATCAGGAGGTTACCTTTCTATCCACAGTGCCCTTCTTATCAGAGACTGTGTTTAGAGGAGGGACCAATGACCTGGGCCACAATTACCAAGATCCCTCATTGCAATAACCTGCCTCTGTTCCTCAGGACCAGCCCATGTGTTTGCCCCAAAACAACAGGGTTCAAAGGACAAGGCCACAGCACCAGGAAGGAAGGGTCCTCCAAGCTGAGCTGATGATCCTTGGCCCTAATCAGTCCCTCCTACCCTATCCTCCCAGCCCCCTCAGGATCCTTCTGGATAACTGTACAGTCCAGAGCCTGGGGTCTGCACTCTACCTCATCCCTCACTCTTTCTTCTCTCAGAGGTTTTCAGAAAAGCTGAGAAATTTCTGTTTCTCTTGCCGTTCTGCGGTTTAACATAAGGCACTTTCTGTCTGGCCCTCATATCATATCCCCTGTGACACTGTACTTCTCTGAGCCTTATGACCGCATGCCCTTCACAAGTGAATGTTCGTTCCTCGAAGCAGACACTAAACTAAAGAACGTCTGTGGTGGTAGCAGTAATAGATACACTTCCTCTTCCAGGGTGACCTGGGCTGGGATCACCCCCACGGATGGTGGGCCTTGCTGTGATTCACTGTCCCCTCTGGAGACATTCCACAGAAACGGCGCATCTCAACCATTCTCCATAACTGCTAAGCCAGTCAGGCAAGCAGCAGAGACCACTGTCACTTCCCCCTCCATTGTTTCCATTTGTGTTTTAACTGAGAGTGCCAGCTATAGTGTGAACACAGTATGGAGGCAATACAGACGTGAGAAATACACATTGCAGTACAGAGACCACTCACAGCCTCCCACCACCCCTCCCCCACTGCACCTCCTCTCCCAGGAACTCCCCATCCCCTTTCCATGTATCATCTTATGTTCTGTTGTCCCTCTTCATCTCTGACTTACACCCTCTCTTCCATCTCGGGGGCCTCTGTTTATTTCCTGGTTTCTCCCCACACTTATTCCACATTAAATAACTATGTTTAACATGTAGAGCTGGGATCCCCAATGAGTTCAAGGTCCTTTCAGCTACAGATCTGGGGAGAGCTGGGGTTTTGGGGAGTCACTGGTCAGACACCATAGCCAGCTCAGAGAGCTGAGGCCAGTGAAAGACCCTGTGTCCTAAAGCAAGGTGGACGGAACCTGTGGATCCACACCAAGATTAAGCTCTGTCCCATAAATGCACACACACACACACACACCTTCACAAAAATACATTTCACCTACAAAAACACTCTTTAAAAAAGTAATAGCAAATTCAAAATTTTTTCTACCAAGGATCTGGACTTATCCCATGTAAAAGCCTCTTCTAAAACATTAAAAAAATCATTTTTATCTCATGTGTATGAGTGCTTTATCTGTGTAGATCTCTGCACCATGTATATGCATCGCCTCTGGAGGCTAGGAGCCTTCATGGACTCCCCTGGAACCGCGGTTACAGAACGTTGTGAGGTTCCAACCTAGGTCCTTCAAATGAGCAGCTGGTGCTCTTAACCTTGGAGTCTTCTCTCCAGAACCCAGAAGGGTCTTTTCCTTGGAAGAAGGTTTTTACTTGGAGAACTTTCCTGAAGGTCTCAGTTTCCAGTGTCACGGAGGTAAGGAGAAAAGCACAGACTTCCTTCCCCACAAGACAATTTTGTTTTCAACAGGGAGAGATAAAAGAAAGGAAATGGATGTGTGTGTGTGTGTGTGTGTGTGTGTGTGTGTGTGTGTGTGTGTGTGTGTGTGGTGTGACTAGAGAGGACTAGGGGAGGGGAGACAGTGGCTAGCAGAGGGACAGGAACTGGAGGCTGCAAAGACTTTTGGGATGATGGGGAAGGGACCTGGAGGGGCAAATGAGTGTGGAATGGAGGAGAAACTTGAGAAAGAGCAAGGGGAAGTGAGGAAGAGCTGGCTAGAGGTCCCAGGCAAACCAGAGGGATGGTCTAGGAGACTGGGCATGTGTAGAAATCTAGAGAAGAGGGGAAACTGCTAAAGCAAAGATTCTGGGCCACCTGGTGATCAGGGCAGTAATGACGCTGTGGGAGCCCACAAAGGTTTCCAGGTGAGATCTGAGCTTGCTTTACTCAGCAGAGCTGCATTAGAGGATGGACTGACCATGTGCATGGTTACCAGGTGTTTGGAAGGGGCTGTACTTGGCTGAGCTCAGGGGAGGTCTTTGGCTCCACCTCTTGGCATTTCTACAAAAAGCCCTTTAGAAGAGCCAGAAGGGGTCCGTGGATATTGATCCAGGCCTTCCTGAGGCTATCCTGTGTATCTGTTTCTCTCCCCTCTCTCCTTCTATCTAAATCTCTTATCCTGCACTCTTCAAAAGTACCCTGGGGTAAGGGCTCCCAGCCGGGCTCTGTGCACATGGAAACCTCACAGGGACAAGGGCGGTTAAATTCTGCAGAGAACCACCTGAAGGTACCGACTTTACCTTTCCTGATTCTGTGGTTGAAGGCCCCCGAGGGCTCAGCTGCCTGTGAGTGAGGTAGGCACCAGATGCTAGGATGGCAGGAAGGCAGTCTCCTTGCCTCTCAGTTCACATGGCGCTCTCTGAGCCCCCAATCCTGATGGAAATCACAGTGCACTGGGTGGATCAGAGCCACGGGGCCCCGAGGGATCCCCGAAGAGATGCAGAAAAAAGATGGGAACTAGGAACCCACAAGGCTGGATGGAGCACGGGAAGGACTGAATTCACAGCCCAGGTGCCTGGGACTTCGCGATCTCTGCACAGGGTCCTCTGTGGAGCTGTGCTGAAGACTCCCTGATTCTCTGGGCAGCCCCAGTTGAACCACAGGTCTCAGGAAAGAACCATGACAAAGGCTGCAGCCAGGGGGGAAATCTCCCCCTGCTTTTGTCCTTTTTCATTTCATTGAGCTGTCTGGGATTTTTGCTTGGGGTCGGTGAGTTCCATGGAATTTAACTTGGAGGAGGCGGCAGGGGTGGGGGAGGTGGGGAGTGGGGTGGGGTGGGGTGGGGTGGGGTGGGGGAGGAAGGCAGTGGATTACTGAGTCAGGAAGGTCGCAGTCTCCTCACAGAAGCCCCTGGCCTTCCCACAATCACCAGGACTTAAGTCCGGACACACCCTGGTCCTCACCACTTCCCTCCCAGATTCGCTTCAGTGGAATGACAAAGTTAAGGGAAAGTCGCTGCGGGGGGGCAGGGAAGGGGCTGCATGAATGAGGAGGGCAGGGTAGCAGAGAGGGGGTAGCTAGTGACACCCTCAGCACCACTGGGATCAGATGAAGCCTAAACAGTCACCAGTGCGGACCCTCCATGAGGAGGTCTCAGACAGCTCCCCTGGACCTAAGGCTTGCTGTGCTCTTGCCTTCCTGGGGAATCCTCACAAGCTCTCCACCATCCCGGGAACCACTTTGTCCTTCAACTTTCTTTTCAAACTTCCCACCATGTTCTCCAGAAGATCACATAGAGGCTTCCAGGGACAAGGCAGCCACAACCACAACCACATAGGTTCCTACTTTGCTTTTTCCTCTCCCTCTCCCTCTCCCTCTCCCTCTCCCTCTCCCTCTCCCTCTCCCTCTCCCTCTCCCTCTCCCTCTCCCTCTCCCTCTCCCTCTCCCTCTCCCTCTCCCTCTCCCTCTCCCTCTCCCTCTCCCTCTCCCTCTCCCTCTCCCTCTCCCTCTCCCTCTCCCTCTCCCTCCCTCCCCCCTCTCTCTGTTGTTTGTTTTAAGGCAAGATTTCACACTATTGCACGCACTATAGAATCTGCAATAATCCCTTCTCTCCCTCAGTCTTCCAAGGTTCAGGATTACAGATTTGTCCCATCAAGCTCAGCTCCAATTCCCATGTGATTTATCAGAGGGCTCAGCTCCCTTCCCTGCCCATCCAGCCCTCCCCATTTCCCCATTCATAAAGTGCATTTACACCTCTTCCACCAGGTGTCCATCTGTGCTCCTGCCTGAAGACACCTCAGCTAATCAGGGGCTAGCACACCTTGTCCACTATGGAGGACTCTGGTGATGCTCCAGGGTAGGAACTTAAGGAATCTTCTCTGCTTGCTCCCAAGCCCATATAGTTTACCTCCTGGGGAGATGGCATCAGATACTGGTATTCATTAGGAAGGAGGGGGTTTGTTTTTTCTGTAAATGGCAGGCACTAAATATTTTTAACCTCTCAAGCCTCACTATGTCTGTCCTGGATCAAATACTCAGTTCTGCATTCAGTGTAACAGATGCAGAAGGCAACAAGCTGATGAATGGGCGCAGGGGAGGGCGGGGGAGCAGATTTGTCTCTACAATAGATTGGGGTATATCCCAGGTACTAGTATTGGTGACCACCCCCCACCCTCCCTGCCCAGAGTGTCTCCAGAAGCTGATCTCTTTCCAGTGGGCACAGAGCCCCTTACTCTGCAGACCACGATGTGTTGTTGGCATGAAGTAAATGGACATTTCAGTGGATCCTGGGACTTTGGCCTCAATGGACACAAAATGTTGCATGTTGACTCAAACACTGAACAATGGACTGAAGTTGATTCTGGATCCAGCTGGATGAAAGGAATGTGGGAGAAAAGCAGGGATGTAACCAACTTCTTAAAAAAAATCTCACAGGGGGAACTGCAGGTCCTGGCTTGAGCAGTTCAAGTTGCACTGGGAAGAAAAGCTGGAGCCTATAGGTAAGTGTTAAGAAGGGGAGGAGACTCACTCTAGATGTGTGTGTGTGTGTGTGTGTGTGTGTGTGTGTGTGTGTGTGTGTGTGTTAATGTAATCACCATGAGTTCTTGGGTTGATGGCCATTTTTTTCATTATTCACTTTGTTTCTCACCCTCTATTTCATTGTGGTGAGAATATTCATTTTTATATTGTTCACTCACTGTGGTTCATGCAGGCTGTCACAGACTGAGCATCCTTTACATCCTTTTCTTTTCCTCATTCTAGACTCACAGTTGCTCTTCATCTCACCTGATCTTTCTTCTTCCCTGCCACCATCCTCACAGCAGGAAAGATGTGGCCCCATTATTACCCTGTTTCCCCTACCATAGCTGCAGGAATCTTTTGAGGACAGGGAACATACCCTCTCTCCCTTCCTACTCAGGACCGGTCTAAACATCCACTGCATAGCAAAGGGGCAGAACTCTGTATGGTGCTGAATTACCTGAAGACCCAGAGGCTAAGGTGAGATTTTCTCATCTTTGAGGTCTAGTCAAAGACTCAACTTGCGTTTCCACTTCAGTCTTACCAACCTCTACTCCAGATGTGGACCAGACTTCATCCACAGCCATTCAGACCAATGCCTATGTTTTGCTGATAATCCTCACCTGCTCCCTCCTATTTCTTACCTGAGGAGGATCCTTTGTAATGACAGGTATACGGACAGTGTTGGGAGAGGGATAAGGGACAGATGGGTGAGGAGTAGGAAAGTAAGAGTGAATTCCTGGAGTCCTGCTCTTGTCCCCCAACTGCAGCATTGTGTTGAGAAAGGAGGCAGGAGATCTGGAGTTCATGTCACCTGCTAGCCATAGCTTCTGCATGTCAGCCTTGTCAGGACAGGAATCATGTCACAGACTCATGGGAAATGAGGAGGGAACACAGCAGGTTCCTAATCAGGAGGGTTCCATGATGCAGATGTGGCAACAGCAGGAACACAAAAGAACATGGTAGTTCCACTCAATGAGTAGAGGGAAGAAGATTCCATCCCACAGACAAAGATAAAGAAGATATAAGGAAAGAGATGGCCCAGTGGCAAGACCACTTTTTGTTGGTACATCAGACCTGGGTTCCATTCCCAGCACCCACATGGCTACTCACAATCACACAGTTCCAGATCCAGGGAGTCCAGCCCCTTCTTCTGCACAGACCCCAGGCATTCCCACAGTGCACTTACAGACTTGCAGGCTCACACTCATACACAGAAACTAGAAATGAATCAAGCAGCAGCAGCAGCCTCCAGAACCCCTGGACCAATGTCCCACTGGAGGCTGTGGGACTGAGCTGCTGCTGGAGTCTGCTGCTCCCCTCTGGGCTGCCCAGATGGATAAGGTCGGGCAGGGAGACACACACTTGTGGGGATCTCTGCAAACACCACAGCCAGCAGAGGGTTGGTCCACAAGAAGCAAGAAGGAAGCTCAGTCTAACCTGACTCAGTGGCCAGAGGTTCAAAACTGTGAAACTCTGACAACAGGTAGTTTATTTTAGGCATATTTAAGCATAGTATAATTGGGGAAAATGTTCCTAGTGATAATTCAATCTCTTGTTCATAGCAAAGCTTAAGATATGACTACATCCAAACTTTTTTCAAGTACAAGTGACATCTTCCGTGAAGACAGTTCTACAGATTAACTGAGGACACAGCTCAAGATAGGGGCTGTGGGTGGACAGTGCTGTGGATTGACTTAGATAAACAAATCAAGATAAGGGTCTGGGGAAGCTGCTGTGGTCTTGCCTTGCAGAATAACACAGAAGTCACCAGCCTTCTGGGCAGAAAACACGTTATACACCTCCCTCTTTGAAGATACAACCCTGTGAGGTTAATATTCCAGATTTCCCTAGAGCTTATTTGTGAACACAAGGATCTATATGCCTCCTGTATCTCCCCCACCTCCTCCAGACAGGGTTTCTCTGTGTAGCCTTGTCTGTCCTGGAATTCTGTAGACCAAGCTGGCCTCAAACTCACAGAGATCCGCCTGCTTCTGCCTCCGGAGTGCTGGGATTAAAGGCATGTGCCACCACCTCTAGGACCCTTTTATATTTTTTACTTTTATTTTGTTTATTTATTTATTTTGATTTTTTAGACAGGGTTTCTTTGTGTTACCTTGGCTGTCCCAGAACCAGCTCTGTAGACCAGGCTGGGCTGAAACTCACAGAGAGTCTGATCATTTATGTCAGACCAAGAGTAAACACAAAACTAAAAAACAAACAATACCTACATGACTATGTTTTAAGTTTTAAGTTGAGGGGCTGATGGCTAATTTGTTATGAAGTAATAATATGTTTTAAGTAATTGTAAGGTGATTGTTTTTCCTATTTTTATCTGGAGCTATGTTTAAATTTTGCTCTTTTAAGTTTATTTACCAAGAAAGTTAAGTACTTACTTAAGTACTGATTTACAAGCAGGAGAGGAGAAGGTCATCCATATAATGAATGAATGACCAATACCTGGGGAAATTTAATCAGCATCAGCTCAAGTGCTTATGTGCAGAATATTGACACATAGTGAGGCTATTTTCATCCCCTATGTTAGAATTTTCCATATTTATCAGGTTATTGGTTGTTGATTGTTGAAAGTAGGAACACAGAATGCAAAAAATGTCCCTTATGGGGATGTAAAGGAAGAGAAAAAGCAGTCTTTTGAGTCAAGTGTGATAATGTAAGTCCTTGAGGGATTCTAGTAGGATCAGGGAACCCTGGCTGGAGAGCCCCCTCTGTTTCCACAGTCACATTTATGCCCCTAAGATCCTGCAACAGTCTCAATTTATTCTTTGTCTTTCAGGAATTGTAAAAATGGGGAGCTCAAGCCAGGCAATGGTGGCACACACCTTTAATCCCAGCACTCAGGAGCAGAGATAGGCTACTATCTCTGAGTTCCAGGACATCCTGGTTTAGAGTGAGTTCCAGGGCAGCAAGGGGTACACAGAGAAACCCCGTCTTGGGGCAAAAAAAAATGATGGAGTCCAAAGGTCTACCGGAAAGTTCTTTCTCCCCTAGTTACAATTTTTTTTTGTACTAGAAATTGGGCCCGTTTTAATTTTTCCCCAAGCCGAGGTCGTTGATGGGGGTGGGGGTGGGGTGGCCACAAAAACTAAGCGCTGGGGTAGGCTAATCCTGGGGCTCAGGCAATGGGGGGAGCCATTCTCCCCACAGCTTGGAACTCCTGAGCTGTCCGTTGTGACAAATAGGGCCAGCAGCCCTCTAGCAGGGTGCCCTGGGGAACCTGCTGGCGACTTCTCCAGGTCCCGGGTTGAAGGGGGAAGACAGAGGGGGGCAGGGGGCGGAGACAGACTTTGAGCTTCGTTCTGATTGGTCAGCATCTAAAGGGAGGAGCATAGAAATAACAAGATCCCTGATTCTGGCTGCCATCTTCAGTGACACCAGCTGAAAGGCCATGGTCCTATTCTGTCTCAACCTTTCCTGATTCTGTTGCTGAGGGTCCCTGAGGGCGCAGCTGCCTGTGAGTGAGGTGAAGGAACCGCGGGGTGTGGGAGTCCAGGACATCAGTGTCCTCGACACTCCGTTCACAGTCCAGCTGTCCAGGTTAGCCTGCCAGGGACTGGGCGGGCCGTCGAGGGCATGTCCCTGCAATGGGGCGGATGGACTAGGGAGCCAGGGCACCGCGTGGTAAAGGCGCGGGCGGATTAGGGAGCCAGGGCGCAGCCTGGCGACGGGGTGGATGGACAAGGGAGCCAGGGCACCGCCTGGTAAAGGCGCGGGCGGATTAGGGAGCCAGGACGCGGCCCCGTGAGTGCGCGGGCTCACTAGGGAGCCAGAGTGCGACCTGGCCACGGGGCGGGCGGACTAGGGAGCCAGGACACCACTGGGCGATGGCACGGGCAGAGTAGGGAGGCAGGAAGGGGCCCGGCGACGGGGCAGATGGACTA